AGGGTGGCTTTAAAGGGGAACCAAAAGGACATCCCACCCTTTTCAGGAGTCCAACCTGAAAACAGACACGGCCACGTGCTTTCCCTCCGGTCATTTGCAGGCGGCGGCGGGTGAAAGCTGGCAGCTCAGTGACCCTTGGTGGCGAGGCGGCCAAGCTACCCGCGTACGTCGCTTGGATCGCCAAGACTCACCTCCTGAGTTGGTGGACTTTAAACTTTTTGGAAAGACCATTATAGTCCAACTCAGGAGTCAAAAAGTTCTTACCAGGCTTTTAAACTTTTTGTAAATAAAAGTTCAAACTTTTTTTGGACAGTCAGCTTGGATAGGCGCCAAGATGTCCGCAGCTGGGGAGCCGCTTCGGATTTGCGGATGGGCCGCTTCCGATTCGAACACGTTTGATGAACAGTTTTTCGGCTGCTGCTGATGCCAAGGACGGCATCACATTCTCATTGGTGCAATTTTTGTACATGCAGGATATGTCATTCAGCACTCAGCACTATATACCGTAGGTACTTGCTAGGTCAAACCCTTTTCATGGCACCTATCGTTGAGCTTGAACCGTCCCATGGGATGCAAATGATTCATGCACCCATATGCACCCATCCAAACCAACTGGGGAGGGGCCCGGAAACTGTTTACCCGATCTGAGGTTTCCGTAAGGACGGGGGCGCTGCCTTTAAGCGTGGGCCTTTGTTCGGCCGCGGGCCTCGGCTCCGCTGGCGCCTGGTGCGGCTGCCGCAGAGCTCGCTGCAAGCGCTCGCCCTGGTCAACACGGAGGGTGGGCCCGGAACGGGCCGGTTCCGGGGGGGGGCGCTGGCTGGGGTGCACGTCCCAGTAAAAGAGCCGGGCCAATGTGCGGGAGAAAAAAAGAAGAGGATTTTGTTTCAAGGTGCTGGTTGAAACATGGCGACTGGCCCGGAAAGCAAGTTGCAAAGGGTTTCTTGGAAGAGTCCTCCGGTGAGGAATCCTTGTTTCACAGCTTGCTCTTAAGCTCGGAAGCAAGGGGGTTGCTGTGGAATCGTGACCTTGCCTCTACAGAACTGCTGGAAGCAAAGTGGAAGTGAGTTCTAGCGGAACTGGGTTTGGAGCAGTGTGTGTTCATTGTTTATGTGCCACACGTTGGGGAAGGCCGGTTCATAGGTTGACATATCATTAACTAGCAGCGCTGATTTCCTGTAGTTTCATGCCCCAACCTCATTTTGCTCGCATGTTCTTGATCACTTCAACTGAAAAGTGGGCCACAGTCTTCGCGTTTGGCTCCTGTCACCAAACCACAAATTTCCTCGTGCCGTAAGCCCCTAGATCAGGCAGCCACATGCGGCACCACGAAACCTGGAGCGGCCAGCATTGCCTGCTAATTCAGAACAGGAACGCCGAAGATGGAATGGCATCAATCAACAATTCATGGGCAGAAATGGAATCACGGGGAATGCAAGACAGTTGGGATGAACACAAAATCAGTGCAAAATGACAGCACAATGGGTGTGCGTGGAGTCTGCCAAACAAACTGCCGAAGCTATTATTGGCAGCATGCATGGCTTACATTGACCCGCTTCGTCCATCTAGTTGCACTACCAGAACCTGTCCAGTTTGGAACTCGCGCGCATAAACTTTAAACAACACCTTCGTTGCGTTGCATTTGTCGATGCATGTGTCGAACATGGTACTGCATTGTTGGGATTGAACCAGAGCTGCCGCAGGTCCGCATACGCAATACATGAGTCTAGATGATTGTTCAACGTGCAACAGACAACAAGTGCGGCAAACAGTTAGTTTCTGATGTCCAAATGATTTGTGTGGCAGGTAGAGGATGTGGAAAGCCACACAGCTCGTCATGTTTCTGTGCCAGTATAGCGGCTTGGGCGGATTGCAGAGAAGTGTTGCCGTGTTTTGTTTCGCATCAGGTGACAACGACTTCACGGAATTCGGGGAGCGCGGAGTGCGTGCTTCCGTGATGGGCAGAGAGGTTCCCACCTACTGCGTGCGAAGGACCGATTTGCTGCGAGCAGCCGTCTCACTCATGCGTCTCGAGGGAGAAGCAGCTGGGTGAAAGTAGACGACACAATAATTCATGTTGGTTTATTCATCCCTCTACTGGGAACTGTGAGTTGGGTACTTTGGCTCTGGTGTAGCAAATGCTCAGCAGTGAGCCAGAAAGTGGAAGGCTGAGTCACTGGGAGACACAGCAAGCATTTTAAGCCCAAGTTTTGTTCATGATCTCCAGGAACAAGCACAACTGGGGCTGGTCCATGGAGTCCTGCTGGGTCGTCAGAGCCTAAGTATGCTCAGTGGGATCGGGCGTACGGCGCCGTGATAATCGAAAGGCCCCTTCGCAGACTACTTCGTGTTGACATCGGACAAATTTCAGGGGTTGACTAATCCGATGTTGACATTAATTGGTATACCATTGTAGTTTTGCTGGAGTTTCCCATGATTTTTCAAAGCTTTGAAAGAGGAGGTGCACTGGTCAGCGTCCCTCTGGCTCCTATGTTCATCTCTTGTGGGCGCAGTGAAAAGGTAGCCAAAGGTAGCTTCCCATTTCTTCCAATGTGTTGCCGATAGTGCTACTGCATCCAAGAAAGGGTGGACCATTTGGACGGACCACAGGCCATTGATTCCTACCCCTAGGGCCCCACAGTGTAGATTGGTACGAAGGGGTGCTAATACATCATTGTAGGGAATCGGCTTTCACTCATTTTTCAGTAATCGTGCCCGGCGCCCTCACCATTTCCCACTTCCTGAGTTCATGAACTTTCAACTTTGGGTGAAGACCATTTTAGTGGTAAATATAAAGTTTGGACTTTTTTTGGGCCATCCACTCAGCCAGTGAGATTCTGCATGGTGTCCTTTTGTCGTTTGTTCTTGCAGCCTACTCCGTCCTTGGAGCTTTGAAGCTTCCCTTCCCGCCCCTTCCGACTTCCCAGTGTTGCCTTGGCCTTGGATCGAGATGCACCTGGGGAGCTGGGCATGTCTCCGAGTCACTCTGGGCAGAGGGATGAAAAGGGCCTGCCCTTCCAGCAAACATGGCATTTGTGGGAGGGGGTTGGAGCCCCTGTGAGGTGCTAGTGGGACGGAGGGTAAATATATACCCCTCGATTTCAAGAGGCTCCCGGGGAGTTCGGTGCGGTTTTCTTCAGACCGTTCAGGTCTGGAGCTCCTGGCCCATGCCCGAGCGCGACTCCCCCGAAGCGGCGCTGCTGGCGGAGGAGAACTTGCCCGTGACCTTCGACCTGCAGGAGGTGCAACCTTCTTCATAGCGGAGGGTCCGATTTTCTGGGTGAAATGTGGGAAATCAGACCACTGTTGGGTGGGCCCCCACTGAAACACAGGAGGTGGAGCAAGCAGTTTATTAGGGAGTGCTTTTCCAAGTGTCCGATTTTCTGGGTGACATGTGGCTAGAATCCGACCACTGTTCGAGGGGAACAGCGGAACACCATGGGGTTGATGAATATGGGGTCACCATTAGGTCCCCACCGGACAGCGGTTGCCCATTGCGAGTTCAGGAACCGCTGCTGATTTGTTCCGAGTCTTCACGGCTTTGTGTTTTCCGCTCAATTGAAACATCGTCTGAAGATTACGGCCAGACTTCAAGGTTGCAGTGGCCACATCGGGAGCAAAGCCAGATTTGACCATTGCAAATCTGGATGCGTCTCGACGTGTCGCGCACCAGAAGGTAGATTGCAACCTCCAGGGCTGCCTGATATGATCGGAGTCTGGAGTCACGTTTGTGGATCCTCGCCGCAGGCGCAGGCTGTGGCCTTTAATATCGGCCAACACCCGGAGGCGCGAATTGAGCTCGAAGCATGGCGCCAGCTTGGGGCTGAGGGCGGCGCAAGCTGGCCTGAAGCGTGTTTTGACACGCATGCTTGCCCACTTGCACCTTATATTTGCGGCAGAATATCCAATGATGAACGACCAGCATAGACCAGTTTAGGGGGGATTCAACCTGAAACGCTATTGTCACTACCGTGTGCGCATCCCTCCCAGAAAGTTACGGTGGCATGGATGAACTTGTTACTCTGTTGGACCCCGAGAAGGTCAGGAGTGTCGAACTTTATTTTGTTGAGCGGGCGAGACTAGCACCGGAGAGCGTGTCAAGAACATGACCCTCATGTTAGACCTTTTGAACAGGCCAAGAGAGGTGAGCACGAAAGCTAGACTCAAAAGAGCCCGCATTTTGAACGACTACCTGCCACCCATGTGACAAATGCCTAAGCGTGCAGTCATGAAAGAGTCGGTCAGGGAATTCAGCAAGAAGTAGCGTGCCGCCTCTGCTTGAGGTGATTGGCTGCGACGAAGGGAACAAAAGCTGTTTGTTGAGCTTCCTTCTGTCAGCCTGGGTTCTGGTGGATAGTGGGAATCACCGTAAGTTGCCGAGGAGCAAGAAGAGGAGGAGGACGAAGACGAAGGCTCCGAGCAGGACGAGGTCGTGCCGCCTGAGGAGTGGCAAGGTAGGGGGCGGTGGGGTGGGAGTGACTGCAGAGGTGAGACTGGCTGAGCTACAGAATACCAAAGTGGCCAGCCCGGAGACAGCTAAAACGGTGCGCTTGCCCGAACAAATTTTCCACTGTGATGGGTAGCACCTCTTCAATGCTGTCTTCGGCAGGTCCAGGCTCTGCAATGGCAGATAGTGGCAGCGGCTGCAAGCCTTGTACCATGGACGTTGAACATGCGATTTGCTTTGAGTCGAGTGGCCTGATTCGTTGACAACCTTTGTAGGCTTCATAAGGAGCTTCAGACTGAAGTTTGGCGTTTACGCAGACTTGGTCATGAAATTATAACTTGCAACGCGTTGTGGACGTAGAGACCACTGTGATGAGTTTGTATTCAATCCCCGCGCACTGATTCGGCACTCAGTATTCTTGTTCTGGATTGCGTTTTTTTCCCTCTAACTTGCAGGCAACATGAACACACATTATATGATATATAAGAGGTTTGTGCACCCCGTTTTGCCTTATGTTTAGGGAAGCCAAGAGAAAACCACACTTTTGCCACCCTATTTTGACATACCCATATTGCAATCCATCAATCCATCCCCAGGTTTTGACACTCCCAACCTGCCCACGGCCGTCACCCCGAGTTGATGACATGGATGAAGTCGAAGAAGCAGAGAGCGATGAGGTGTGGTCAAGGGGGTTGGCAGTGGGGTCTGTGTCAATCGCTTTACTTTCCCAGGTCTGCCGGGAAAAAACACCCTGATGAGGGCGCATGGAAAAGCACTGCCAGGAAGGGACAAGCTTTGATGATTTCGGAGATATGTTCAAGCTTACAGCTTGAGAATGTGCCGCTCGCCAAATGGAACGAGACTCCCTTTGCTCGCCTAGAACCCGGCTTATTTGATTGGACACTTTGAAATCTTGGGCATGAACTTCGTAATATGTTGCAAGCTGCAGCGCTAGGTTTGATGAATATGACCAAATGGCTGAAGATGTGCGCCACGGGGAGCTCATTTTCGCACTCCACTTTATATTTATACTTTTTGGGAAGACCATGTTGGTGATAAAGAACAAGTCGGGGCTATCCGCTCTGGACGCGAGTGTTTGTCCGTTTTGAAGATGCAACTTCATATTCACAGGCTTCTTCCTTAGCGGGATTGGCACTAGATAGCGAAGGAGGCAGGAGTTTTCTGACAGCTTAGCCACCCTTGCCGCACGTTCCCGCCTGCACACGACTTCTGTCCCAAGGAAGAGCTTCTTGTAGTTCAGGGGTTTCTTTACTTCACAAATGCTATCGCACTTCTCCTTCTACTGATCTAAGCAGCGGAAACCTGTTGTTCATTGCCACCCTTTGCCTTTATTTTTCACATGCGACCAGTGACTGCACTTGAGATGCTGCAACTGTCCCGGGCAATGCCGGCGCTCGTTTTGCCATTGAGCAGTTCAGGACTTAGACGCTCGTAGCGACGGACCCACCTTGTACACAGTTGCGGCCCGGCAGATCGTGCACGGGCGGATTTGGGATCCATGGAATTTGGGGGTCTAATGTTGACCCCATATAGATCAACCCAGCTTATGAATAGGGGGTTTCCCTGATTTTAGTGCGGCATCATCACTCTTGGAGGTGGAGGGGAACACCCCCCTATTAATAAACTGGGGTATTTGAGGACACGCTGGGCTAATCGTTGCATGCTGCCTGTGCTGGCCACTCAGAATGTGTTGCGAAACTTGGCAGCTTCTCAGGCGTGACTTTCACGGCTCTCAGAGCTTGGTGGTCACCTGGTGTTTTGTTTGGTGAAGAAGCATATCCTTTGGTGCATTTTGTCAAGGGATGTTAGGGCTTTTACCTTTTGCCAACTAATGAGTTTTCCGTATTAAACCACTAAAAGTTATTCACTTTTAGCAGAGGAGCAGATAGCAACCGAGTATCAATGTCTTAGCTTTCGGGTGAACTGCACTTGTCAGCTTTTTGAAGAGACTCTACGCCGTGATGCTTACCGGAGGGGGCATCCGATGACGATGAACAAGTCGGCAAGCAATTGCTGTTTGGAGGCTATGCCGAGAGAGCAATGTGCTTATTCGCGTGTACCTTTTCGCCTTACAATCAAGGGCCACTGAAGCTTAAACTTGTTCTCTCCGCTCCGCTGCAGCACATGGCACTCTTCAACCGACACCCTTCAACCGTTTGAGCATTGATCCATGTTCAACGTGGACCAGGAGCTCGCTTCAGATGCTCGGAAAGCTCGAAGAACAGGGCGCATATAGGTGCCACATTGCTTTCACATGAGTTGTGCGAAGATGACACTGGGTATAGTTGTTTTGTTTCCCCAACTGCAACCCACAGAGTTTCAGGGACAACTTTTTGAGCGACTTGACTTGAAGTTGAAGAGGCTCATGGCAACCAGCCACATGTTCGAAAACAAGAGTCCATTGGTTTTGACCCACAGCCATGTAGCCGAGGTCCGTATCGACGATCACCTCGTGCGCCTGCCCCGCGTCCTTGTGGAGAACACCCCGCAGGACGCGAGACGCGAGGGCCGGCCGCCTGCGAAGATGTCGGCGTTGCCGAAGAGCCCTGTGAAGCCGGACAGGCTCCAACTTTGGCATGGTGTGGGTCAACATGAGTCACCACCATGTTCTGGACCGCAGGTGTTATGTGAAGCGTAAGCCGAGGAATTGTTGGTTTAAGCGTATTCAAGGATGGTCACAAGGGTGGCAGGATAGGTTCATGTGGCACAGAGGTGGTCCACACTTCCTCAAACTAGTACGGAGCTTCCTTTTTGCACTGGCTTTCTTTGCATATTGGTTTGGGTCAAAATCAGTCACCACCAGGAGTTGGAACGGGTTTGAGTCCTCTCCATGTACCAGGCCTTCTTGGGTATCCATTTTGACCCACAGCCATGCGTCTCCCTCAAGAACAAATGATGGAGTCTGAGCTTTGTTGGGGCGGGGGTTGGCAGAGGCCCTGGAGATTCAGCATCAAGCCCAGCCAAGCAGCACAAAGCAGAGATCTTTATGGAGGGGTATGGGTCAACATTAGTCACCACCTGGAATTGGACCGCGTTTTTGTTTTAGTCCATGTTTCCATTTACAAGGGTTCCATTTTGGGTACCTATGTTTGACCCACAGCCATTTGTGTGCAAGCTTTTCATTTGCAATACGTCCGATGATCCAGCTATGAGTTGCATGTGGCTCCGAGAGTTGCTAGGTAACAAACCCATTGCTTTTTTTTTTGCACATTTGCTTGCAGGGTCACCTGCCAAGCCTGCACGGCGACAATCCCACAAAAGAACATGGGCATGGGTCAAACTAGGTGCCCCAAATGGAACCCTGCTAAATGGAAATATGGACTGAAACCTGCTGTCCCCCGAGTGGTTTGATTTGTGACCCATACGCACATGAGTGTTGTGCCGGTGAGCTCGGCAATCAATTCTTCGAGGACCTGTTGGCGATGATGCTGCGCCGAAGCTTAGATTTGCTGCCAGAGGGCTAGCGCTTCAACAAAAACTCTGCGCGCGGGATGCATCCAGCTGTGCATGCTTCGGAGCGGGCTTCCCTGATATCGAAAAGCAACACAGCATGTCTTTCTTTTGGGGGCAAAACATGTGATGAACCACAACGGTACGACCCTTTCCCTTTCGTTGAAAAGATCAACCGACCTTCCTTCCGCAGACAGAAGCATGCTAACATATTCTCTTCCCACGGGTCGAAGTGGATTGGCGAGCGCTTCCCAGTTTTGGGTGGTACCTGAAAAGTAGCGTGGCTACTGCTTTGCAAGGGATGGCGGGCTTTAGGATCAAGCCGACAGAAATGAAGCCTCGACGTAAGGCACAACCATTCCATCCTTGCCAGTCAGAAATCTTTCCAGACAATCTGGAAATATTGTTCGGCAAAGGGCTGGATTGTGAATTCCATGCTTATGGCCCGGCTGCAATTTGCTTGCGCCAGCCGGCCTCTTTGGAAGGGAGAGGGCGCGACACCACCCATCTTTGGTGTTTTTTGCTTGGATGTTAGCTTTTTGCCAACTACTGGGTTTCCCGTATTAAACCACTAAAACTGAGTCACTTGTAGCAGGGCTTCGCAGCGGTCGCAACACCGAGCTATCATGGCCTCAGGGCCTGTCCGGCTCTCCCGGGCAGGCTGGGAACGAGTCGGAGGCTGAATCCGAGGATGAGCCGGACGGTGAGGAGCTAGCAGTAGTGAGTCCTGCGGCAAGAGCTGGTGCAAGTGCAAAGGGGTGTGGTTCAACATATTTCACGATGGGAGGGGCAAACCGCAGGTTTTGGCCCATGATTCCGGTTCTGGAGACCTTTATTTCATGCCGGGTTTTGATGATGACTCAAATGCTCTCCCGCCAATTAACATGGAGCCCCCTTGACAGGGATTTCTGGGAAGACCATGTTCTTTTTGAAGGGACCCTGCGGTGGGTTGCATACTACTTAGTGGGAAGGTATGTGAGGAGCGCTATACCGACTGGTGGTAAATGCAAAGTTGAACCTGCATTTTGCCCTTGGCCAGGCTTTGTCGAGTCCTGAACTTGATACCAACTCACTTCCTGAGTTCCGTTTCGGACTTTTCGTCACTGTTCTGGAAGACCATTTTAGTGGTAAACAGTTTAACAAGCATCAGTTTCGGCTTTTTGGGGGGCCAATCCACTCGTTCGGAAGTGAGCCCATGTTGGACGCTTCGCAGGATCTCTGACCTTTGGAGCAAAAGGGGTGGAAGGTATTTTCAGCCCCTGCCACCTGGCGGGGTGCTGGAAATCAGCGAGTGGTTGCCAGATCGGCCCAAGGAAAGGCCGGCGACATGTTGATGGGAAGCCCGGCTTGGTCGTTTCACACGCAGTGCCTTTGTGGTCATTATTGTTCAAAGACCCTCAGGGTCTGTATTGATTTTGGGCCCTCCAATCCATGGGCCTTTGAGGGGTCGAGGTTCTCCATGGGAGGGCCCGGGGGTCTGCCATTGGAGGGGGCATGATAGCAGGTTAGAACATGTTATGAGAATTTGCCCAGGAATTCCTGATTTATGTGTATTCAAGGATGGTCCCAACGGTGCCAGGATAGGTTCATGCGGCAATGAGGCGGTCCACACTTCCTCAAACGAATCTGGAGCTTCCTTTTGCACTGGCTCCCTTCTCTATATTGGTATGGCTCAAAATCAGTCATCACCAGGAGTTGGACCGCAGCCTTGAGTCCTTCTATGTACAACCACACCTATGTCCATTTGGGTGTGGGTCTTAAAATTACTAGGGGGCCACAGGTTTTAGTTCGGGATTCCATTTGCCGGGGTTCCATTTTGGGGTTAATCTATTGTTGACCCACCGCCATTTGTTGTTTTGGGCTTCGCATCTTTTTTTGGTCCGGTTGGCTCGCGTGGTTAACGACTGTGCGCATGTGAGGAGTTTAACGGCGGAGATGGCGCCCAGGCACGGCCAGTGGCGACTTGCGATCGGTGCGACAGGGAATGACCCTCAGAAAAACCATCCAACTGGTGGTTTCCTTTAAGAGACTCCCCAGGTTCATTCCCTCTTTCACTGAGCACTAGTAAGATGAACCTCTTTGTTGCTATTCCAGTGCTGGAAGGCTGAGGCACACTGGAGTCATCAGAGAAATACTCTTGTGGTTTTGTTTTGCAGGTCGGACATTAGGTCCACTTGGCTTTGTTTTTACCTCCAGGCTGTTGGGCATTTTCTTGTAACAACCAACTCGGGATTGCACGGCATCCGAGGGTTGGTTTGGAGACAGCCTTGGCCAGTCTGAGTTTAACGATCCTCGAACAAACATGGTGCATCTACTTACTTTCACCCGGGCGCCTTAGGGCCTTGACTTTTGGGCATTGGGCGTTTGGGCCGGGTATGGCGAGTGTCTTGCTGCATGGCTCAGACGGCCCAGCTCGGCCGCCCGTTTGGATGCAGCCGTGGGCCCGGAAGCGGGCGCCGGCAATGCGCGATGTCTGGCTCGCTGGTGGCCAAGAAGCGCTCGGCTGCATGGGATGAGGAGGCCTGGATGGTGGTTTTTCATGCAGATGAGCGAGAGGGAGAATGAGAGAGAGAGAGAGAGAGTGGAAGAGTGGAAGAGTGTTTGATAGTATGTGATAGCCTTTGGTCGATAGGCATATGCAGACACATACATATTTGTGTACGCATATACATATAGAGAGAGAGAAAGAGAAAGATATATGCGCTTGTATGCGCATATATGGTTGCTTACACACACATATATTTTTATATATACACACGCGTGTGAGAGTTTCTCGCCTTGGTGCCGGTACGTCTTTGTGTTTGTGTGTGTGTGTGTCTGTTTGCCTGTCTTTGTGTTTGTGTCTGTGCTTGTGCGCAGGGGTGTGCGTGTCGGCAGCTGGGCTTCTCCTCGCTTGCTCGCTTGCTCCTGTTGGACTTTGTCTCTGCATTTCGCGGTGTTGGGACTGAACAACTTTTTGCCAACTGACTAGGTTTTCCGTAGAAAACCACTAAACGTGAGTCGCTCTTAGACTTTTAGCAGGGCTTCGCAGTCGCAACAAGTCGTAACCGAGTTTTGTGCGTCCTTTGAACCTGCGGGATGGGCAAGGAGTTGGTAGCCTAGTCACTAGTCATTAACCTGGCTGACATGCATGCTTCGGGGATATGCGCGCACGCGCGCGCACTGGAAGGAGCCATTTTTGAGTTTGCGCTTGATTAATCTAGATTCTTGATCCAGACGTCACCCATAGTGAACGTTCCTTTCATAGATTCATAGCAGTCCCTTATGTCCAGTTGGTGAATATATTGTTGGTGCCTGTTGGGAGCGCCGCGGCTTCGGCAAAAAGCGAAGCGAGGTTGCCGTGGGCTTGGTGAACTGACAGGCGAAAATCGGCGACAAGATCCCCATCCTGGGACTGTCACGGATTCCACTCGTTTCGCCCTGTGATGTGAACCGGGTATTCAGCACGAAGCATACATCCACCTGGGTCGACATCAAAACCCCCGCGCCTTTTCCGTTAGGGAGCTGTTCCTGAGTTTGCTTTGGCAGCCATAAAGTGATTCTGCGGAAGAAAAGGAAACGGCCCGAAGGAACCCGGAAGACAAAAATGGCTGGAATAGTCTTGGTTCTCGTTACAGCTTGGCGAGTCAATTGCTGCTAAACCGATGTTTGAGAGAGGAACTTACATGCCCGAACCGATACTGAAACCGATGCTCAGTCGATGCCTAACCAATACTCATGCCTGCCAAATCCAAGCAGCTGGCAGTAGCACGCCCTGTCTTTGGTTTGCTATCCTGACGCCAGCTCCTCCAGTTCCTCTTCTTGATCACCGAACCTGCTTTTGAAACACGCGAAACAATTCTATCCTGCCTGCTATGCCGACGCGTGTTACATGGCCACGTCAATGACTTACGTAGCACCCAAAGTATTGCAACCTGATGCTGAGGGAAACGCGGTACTAGCCGATACTAGGACATAAGCGTACCAAGGTTTCATACGGGGTTTTTGTTGCAGCCGAGACCTGAATCAGTGCCAGCTCTGTGGTTGCCAAAGGCTGGAGTTGTGTGCAGGAGAAGGCGAAGCCAAAGAAAAAGGCCAAAGAGCCCAAGGCCTGGTGCCCTTGCTGAGCTGCCCTAGGGGTCATGCCCCATCCAATGCAGACCCCCAGGCCCTCCAATGGAGAACAACCAATTTTGAGGGCCCAAAATCAATGGGGACTCTTAGATTGGATGAGATGAATGAAGCCATTCCGCTGCCAGCCCACCTTTTTTGTGAAAGGCATGTCTCTGATACCGTGAGCGGGGTCAGCCTTATTGGCTAAGAAGTTTCGCGGCTCGAATGGCTCATGCTTGCACAGCTACCTCAGCGCGTCAGGAAAAGCCGTCCAAGAAAAAGGCCAAAGACCAGCCGTGTGATCCTTGGGAGTCTTGGGATCCTTGGGCTTGGGAAGGTGCCTGGGGTCCCTGGAGCCCTTCCGCACCCTGGGGCCCTTCGGCGCCTTCGGCGCCTTCGGGCGCGGCCGCTGCGGCGCCTTCGGGCGCTGAGGGCGTTTCGGGCGCCTGGGTGGAGCCTCCGAAGGCGAAGAAGGACAAGGCGAAGGCGAAGAAGGACAAGGCGAAGGCGGCCACGGCCAAACTCAGCGGCCCGAGCCAGGCAATCAATCAGAACCAGTCGTTCTCCGGCGTGGTGCCTCGCCTGGACGAGAAGCCACGCAGTTGGCAAGTTGGCAACGCTGCTGTTTCGAGCAAACAAGGAAAACCAAGAAATGGTGACGCCAACAGTTCAACAGAAACAGACGCCAGGGGTGCAGAGGCAGAGAGAGAGAGAGAGACAGGGACAGACAAACAGATTGACACAGACAGGCAGACCCACCAAGAAATTCACGCCATTCGGGTTCTAGGTGTCCTTTTTGGTTGTTTTGGTTTACCTGGTACAATCATCTACCAGGAGAGACCCATCTATTTGCCCTAAACGGACACCTATTCAGCCCTCCTTCCGCCGAGTTTCTCTTGCGAGGTGACGGCGCTGCAGCCGAGGAGTGGGGATCTGCTCATCGACTGCCCGGCCATCGCCCGCGTCTTTGGGCGGCCGCCGGTGATCCCAGCGGCGGCCAACGACATGGGCGCGCGCGTCGGCTCCATCGTGGTCTTCCGGCTGCGGCCGGGGGTCCCGGCAGCCGCTCGAGGGAGATTCTGCTCCATAGGGTTTCAGACAGGATGGGAACGCGAAATCCTTAATGAAGCCAGATTGAAACCATGGATGGGTGAAACGGAGGGGTGCGAAAGGAGACCAAAACGCTTGTTGGTGTTTACGTTGGGGAAGCGAATCCTTCCAGGGTCTCTTAGGTGGCGCGAAATGGATGTTGTAACCATCCGCAGTATCAACCCTTGTTTATTCCTATGGGGGTGGCCCCTTCAAAAGTGATATTTTCCAGTAACGCCCCTCCCCCCCACCCGATCAATAAACAGGGGTTGATTAGTATGGGTCGAGCTTGGTTTGTGAGAATTGTTCATGCATCAACCTTTACAGTACAGCCTACGGCCTGGCCTTTTTCTAGTGCTTGAGATGCAGGATGCGAATTCCGTATTCGGCTAGAGCAGGTGGTTGCTTCCCTTTTGAGTGCCAGGGGCAAAGGCCCAACCAAGAATGTAGGAGTTGATGGGTTCATGATGAACTGCTCATGGTTGTTCATGCTCCTTCCCACCGACGAAAGCACCTTCATTGCATGTGATTCTTCTTTGGCCATGTCTCACCAGAGTTTGGGTGCGTTCTTTTGGTTGCCGGCTGCCCTTGTGGCCCATGGTGGTTGCCAAAGCGAAACCGCCAAACAAAATCAGGGTTCCATATGAAGAGAGAAGCCCATTTGCGCCACATCCTCAAAACCCGGGTAGTGGAAGGTGAGTAAACAACCAGATAGGTGCGGCCGCCTGAACTCTGAAAACCTGGGTTTTGGGCGTCGGCCGTGCTTGTCTCGATCTTAGGCCGGGCCCGGACCCGGTAGCCACAGACATCGTCATCAACGGCTTCGACTGGGAGCTCGGGGACGCGGAAGCGGAGGGAGTGGCCGAGGACGGCGCCGAGCGGCCTGGCTTCCTGCCGGGCATGAGGCCGTTCCTGAAAGGCAAGTCCAAGGGCGAGGCCAAAGGATGGTTCGGCGAATGGAAGGGAAAGGGCTTAGGAGAGCAAAAAGGCTGGTCAGGATGGGGCGAATGGAAAGGCGAGAAAGGCAAAGGGCCCTTCGAGAAAGGCATGGGATACAAGGGTCCTGGAAAGGTGCCAGGAAAGGAAGCATGGAGTGGAAAAGGCTGGTAGGTTTGCACACAGCTCACCTGTTGGATCTAGCTTTTTCCGGCCATCTCCCGGCACAAAAAGGTCGTGCGCTGCCTGCATACCAATAGCTCAAGGCCGCGCTTGTAGCAAGCTGCCTGCTCTTTTGAGAAGTGGCTACTTGACTTGGGAGACTTGAGTTCGACAGAATGTGGCTCCAAGCAAGGGCCTTTTTCGGTATGCAAGCCCAAGATATGGCGCACGTGCAAGAATGTCCTTGTATGTCCTCGTAGTGATCAGTTGTGAATGTAAAGGGGTTGTAGGTCTGAGCACGGGCCAGGTCTACCACTCGTGGCAGCAAGGCCTAGCAACCATCCGCCAGGCTTTGGACCCCATCGATCAGCTGGATGAGTGCTATTAATTCGTGGTGTTTGGTAGCTCCAGCTGTGTTGAGCAGAGCAACTTATTCAGTGATCAAAGGCGAATGGCCCGATCTGGAAACACATGTCTTGTATATGCCTTCGAGGATGCGCCTGTCAAAGCCAAGCCACATTTCCAAAAGCAACCACTAACCATGCATGGTCATATTGACATCACAGATCATCGGCCAGATCGTGCCAAGAAGGGCGCTACTTCAATGAACGGGCAGGCAGCACGCATGATCAGGTTCGAACTGGTTTACATCTTACAGCTTCAACTGTGATGCAAGAGGCTCGAACTGTAGGTCTTTGCCGCACGGCAGGACCGACGCGATTGTTTCTGGAAGGTCTCCTCCGTTGGATGTCTTCTTCAAATGCCGAGAGCCAACTCCAACAGTCCATGTTACCTCCCCTTCAACCATGCACCGGCCACTCGCAAAACCTATCTCAAACCAGCTGGGCTGGCCTTCAGGATATCCAAGACTCGGCATGTCCAACGGAGGCGCTTTATGGCCCCTGCGGGAACCGCAGGGCTTTCCCCTGTGCGTGAGGGAGTTTCCAGACAGCACAGAACGACGCATGCGCAAGACAAAGACCAACGAAGACTTCCCAAGCTCCTGGACTTTAAGCTTTTTGGGAAGACCAGTTTAGTCATACGCAAACACTTTGGACTTTTTGGCCACTCAGGAAGTGAGATGAAGACAAAGACCAAAGAAGCTAGGCAAAGCCATGAGGTGGAAGGCAATCGATTGGGGGGGTCTTGAGCAGGACTATGCCAGCGGACAACCAGCCCATTGCGGGATACTGCGGGTCTTGCTTCAGTCGGAAACTTCTTTTATAGATGTCCAAAATCAGCCTGATTTGTTCAGCGGTTTTGCACCTTGCGATCGCTGTCCGTCCGGCAAAAAGGCGTTGTCGTTTCTTCAGCGCAGGGCGCGCTTCGTGTTTGGCTGTCACCTGCACGGGGCCTTGAATTGAATTTCTGGCACTAGCAATCAGGGCCTGTGGCAAAGGCTGAGTTCAATCTCAGTTAGAGGCATAGTATTTGCTCGTCCCAGCCTTAGACGGTTGAGTCGGCCTTCGTATTCTCAAGAGGTACTGTGACCTTTGATCGCCGTGCATCTTCACGTTGGGATCAAACGAAACCTGCAGAAACCACATATTTTGCATGTGTTTCTCTGAGTGCTGGATACACTGGAGGGTCCAACAGGTGTTCTGCAGAGTTGAAGTGCGGCCGGCTTGGCATGATGTTGACTCCATATCAATCAACCCCAGTTGATGAATAAGGGGGTGGCGGCCCCTCCAAAAGTGATGATTCCCCAATAATCCCAGAGACCCCCCATTAATAAATACACTTGGGTTGCTTAATGTGGGCAACCTTTCAACGGCAAGCGTCCTCCGCAGTCGTTGCGGCGACTTCCAGTTCCCCTCGCAGCCATGTAGGCTTCAAGGCTTCAAGTACGCCTCCCCGGTCGATGAATCCGCAAGAAAAAAATCCGCAAAAAGGACACAAAGGATCGTTGAAAGAGCGCGGCTTCCTACTCGGTGCATCATTAGCGAGAATGAGCGGTTGACATCAGCGCCAGAGCCCTCGGGCCGAGACTTCCCCAAAGAGACCCAAGCTAAGTGGAAGCGCGGCTCATTTGCCGTGGAGTCGTCGCGCAGATGTGATGCGGCCATGGCTGGTGTTGCAGCTCGCCTGGCTTCTGCCGGCATGTGAGCGCAGCGGCATGAGGTCAATCCCTTTATGCCTATCAAGGCTTGATCCCTTTTACCAGGGACTAGAGCAGGCCCCCGCTTCGAAAGAAGCTTGGATCCTTAGTGACTGGGTAAACCGACATCTTTCAACTTGTTCTGAGTCCTGCTTGAACGTGCTTGAACGACCGTTGTAACAGTGTTCTGCTTCAGGAGTTCTTGGTGTAAGAAACCGACCTTCCATTTGTCAATGGCAGAGCGTGCTTACATGGATAACCTCGATTCCTGCATTTCTGCTGCTTTTGCCCTTTGGAAGGCATAACAGGGGCCAACACAAACCAGCAAGCAGCTGAAGTCTGCTTGATTTGACACGCATGCCCATACATATTTGCATGTGTACATGCATTTACACATATATAGATAGCTATATACATATACTATCATATGTATACATATATGAATACAGATTCACGTGGACGGACATCTAGTTTAAATATATTTATTATATACGCACCAATTCAAATGTTAGGTGTTCTCAGTTGGGTCAGTTTGACAGTTTCCTTCTCAACTTGCTGTAGCTGGCACCAAAGAAGTCCGTATGAATGTTGACCCCATATTAATCCACCCGAGTTTTTTAGTAGGGTGTGTCCCTGGGATGTATTGGGGAATCATCACTTTTGGAGGGCCCCAACCCCCCTGTTAATGACCTGGGGTTGATTCATATGGAGGCAATGCCAGGGGGGGTTGGCCCGGGACGATGGCGAGTTGAAAGTGCATCGCATTGAACAGGTGCTCAAATGTGCCACGAATCACTGCATTTTCAAGCATGCCTCCCAGGAATGTCGCTTACCAAACCCTGCAACTTCGCGTACCCGAGAGAACAACTGGAGTACGCTGCCGTGACAGTTCCACGTTTTTTTTTAATCAGCGGACGTATAAATATATATAATTAGATATGTATATATGTATGTATATATATATATCGATATATATATATACGTACATGCCTCTCGTGTAGAGCATCCACATACCGCACATCTTCATGCCACCACTTTCGCAAGAACGGAATGGGCGATACCTTCGCCAAACAAAGTAGTATGACCAAAGCTAAACCTGCAGACTCCATCTGCCTGAGCACTCAAGAAGGTGCGAGCACGTTACAAAGCAATCCTGCATTACATCACCCCGGCCGAACATGAACGCTATCGTCCCCACCCCACCCCACCCCAAAGAGCGGTCGCCTCTCCTCTCATGAACGCTATCATCCCCACCCCACCCCACCCCACCCCACCCCACCCCAAAGAGCGGTCACCTCTCATCTCATGAACGCTATCATCCCCACCCCACCCCACCCCAAAGAGCGGTCACCTCTCATCTCATGAACACTATCATCCCCACCCCACCCCACCCCACCCCACCCCACCCCACCCCACCCCACCCCACCCCACCCCACCCCACCCCACCCCACCCCGGGCCAACCCCCCCCGTCAACCCAACATGATGTTTCAACCTTCCATCTACCTCACAAGAACTTCGACGTTTGCTGGCCAGGGGCTTTCGAACAGCGAAAGGGCAGGTGGAAGCCAAAAGGAGCCCATACTCCCATTTTTCCCACTAGAAGTGAGTCACCTTTAGCAGATCAGAAAACGGCCATTTTCTGAAGGGGGTTCCCAGAGACAGTTTTTAACCCACTAGAAGTGAGTCACTTTCAGCAGGTCGGAAAACTTTTAGCAGCCCAATTTTGTGGGGTTCAAGCCCAACCTCACGCCGAGGAAATGGGCAAGCCGAGCCCGAGTCCGCCGCTTCGCCGCCGGCGCAGCCAGCCAGGCAGGGCCGAAGCGGGAAGCGCCCGGGGACTTGCAAAAGCGGGCGAGGAAAAAATGGAACTTTCTTGAGTAATTGGATGGAACTGTCTGAGTGATTGGGTCGAACTGTCTGATGTTTTGGGTCGAACTGTTTTTTTTTTTGGTCGAACTGTCTGAGTGATTGGGTCAAACTGTCTGATTTTTTGGGTCGAACTGTCTGTTTTTTTGGGTCGAACTGTCTGATTTTTTGGGTGGAACTGTCTGATTCTTTGGGTGGAACTGTCTGAGTAATTGGGTGGAACTGTCTGACTTGTTGGGCGGAACTGTCTGAGTAGTTGGGTGGAATCTGAGTAATTGGGTGGAACTGTCTGATCAATTGGGTGGAACTGTCTGAGTGATTGGGTCGAATTGTCTGATTTGTTGGGTCGAACTGTCTGATTTTTTGGGTGGAACTGTCTGATTTGTTGGGTCGAACTGTCTGTTTTTTTGGTCGAACTGTCTGAGTGATTGGGTCAAACTGTCTGATTTGTTGGGTCGAACTGTCTGATTTTTTGGGTTGAACTGTCTGATATTTTGGGTCGAACTGTCTGAGTATTTGGGTGGAACTGTCTGACTTTTTTGGCGGAACTGTCTGAGTAATTGGGTGGAACTGTCTGACTTTTTGGGCGGAACTGTCTGATCAATTGGGTGGAACTGTCTGATTTGTTGGGTCGAATTGTCTGATTTTTTGGGTCGAACTGTCTGAGTGATTGGGTCAATCTGTCTGTTTTTTTTGGTGGAACTGTGTGATTTTTTGGGTGGAACTGTCTGAAACTGTCTGAGTAATTGGGTCGGACTGTCTGATTAGTTGAGTTACAACCCCACTGTTTAGGAAGAGAAGCCCAACCCACCCTGGGATTGTCTCAGCTTTTTACGCGTTTTGTTGGTGAGAAGATCCAGGTGGTCATGTCGGATGCATGATCTCGAGGCTTGACTGGACTCAACTCGCTTGGGAGGTGACCCTTTGGACTGGGCAAAACTGGCAGAGTCCCATGGGACGGATGGCAGTACGGTTTGACCCAAAGAACCCAAAGTTACGTAACACTGCAGCCGCAGAAAACATGGGTGATGGCAATGTGACTCGAAA